CTGGTTCAATAATAAGACAAATTGTCAGAAGACGAGCCGCACACTCGACTTGACAGTGAAGGCTGCCTTAAGCCACAAATCCAACTTCTGCCACTAATACAGCCAACCAATCCATTGGCTTCTAAAGCTGCCTGTCAGGAAGAAGCACTCACCGTGATAATCCCCTTGGCCTGGGAGATTGGACAGGATAATTTTCATGCAGCTATATGGAGTATAATCCGTTCTCTTGCCTTCTTTTCCATAGTTATGCCGGATGCTGTAAGCATATCCTTTATCAAACTGAAGAGTGAAAACAAACAATAAAAATAGCAGATGGTTTACAACTGAGAGAGGATGTACAGTGTATGCGATTTTAGTTACTGTGATGGATGAAATATTGATGCTTCGAGTCATCATAACTGTTAAAAGTTTTACAAGTAAAAAATTGGAAAGTACAACAAATTTGAATCTATGTTATCGAGCACTTCGCAGAAAGGGAGTTTCGCCTGATAATTTCTCTAGGACTTTGCTTACAAAAAAATAGAATTACAAGATATTTTTTTCCCCTCAATACTGTCTTTAAATGGAGTTATTAAAAAGAATCAAAGGAAACAGAAGGAAACCAGTTCAGTTGAAAACAGTCTTTCAAACTCTAAAAAGAAGCTCTTGTTATGAGTAACAAATGGCATATTTTTTTCAATTAGCTCATTTTATAACTGTGGTGATTAAGATAAGTTCCTACATAATATAAAAAGCTTGTATTTATTTCAAAGTATTTTCTAGTAGATATTTATTGTTATAATTATGTTTAAGGCTTCCCATTCCAAAAGATTCTGAGTGGTTTACAACAACAAAATATGCAAGTAAAAAATTACATGCCAACAAAACACAGATTAAAAAGCAACTAAAGCAATAAAAAACACAACAGAGGTTTTGCAAACACACTACCCCCATGCCTAGAAAGAGATCCATCTAGTAAGAAACTTCTGGATGCCCCTGAGAGTAGGCATTATATTCATGGGATTAATATATTATATATTTATAATGTATCTATGCATATATATATACATATATATATACATATATACATATACATATACACATATACATACATACATACATACATACATACATACATATACATTCTTACTTCTTTGTAGGATTTATGTGTGTTTTTCCTCTAGCCAGGGGAAGGATACTGTAAAATCTCCATTCCCTCCCCACTCCAGGGGAAGGTTACTGCAAAATCTCAATTTCCTCCCAATCAGCTGGAACTTGGGAGGCAAAGAATAGATGGGGCATCAGAATTTTTACTATCAGTTCTCTGAAGTACACAAAATTTCCGCTACCGGTTCTACAGAACTGGTCAGAACCTATTTATATATATATTATATATATATAATGAAAAGCATTAATGGCAGAGAAGATATCTTGCTATTTGTTTGGAAATGCAATTTATTTGAGACGACATCATAACCTGACACCCAGGTCTCAGCAATGGACTATTTCCAAATGGTTCTTTGCAATAGACAGACTTCTATGTGTCAATACACAAAGACTAAAAAGAAAAAGCAATGAGGTGTGGCAAGAAAAAAGTATTAGCATCTTGAATGTATCTTCCAACTTTTTTCCCAATTATTTTGGGAACTCCAAACAATTCTGAAAGGTAAAAATTCTCCATATATGGGCAAGAGAATTCGGACAACCAGGCTACTTCAGGCTGAAAGCAGTTAACTTCTACCTCCAATCCTGGAAAGCATGATGGTCTTCAAAGCAGGGGTGAAATGCTCCCAGTTCGGATAGGATCAGGCCGTCCGGTAGTGATTGTGGCAGGTGGTTCGGAGAACCGGTAGCAATGGTGGCACGAGGCTCCGCCTACCCGCCCAGGTGTCATTACTTCCTGGTTTTAACCAGGAAGTAATGTTTTTTTTACCCTCTGCGCATGTGCAGAAGGTTTTGCGCATCTGCAGAGGGTCTGTGTGCGCATGTGACACACGCGTGAATGAAGTGAGCGTATGCGCGCCGCGCAAGCACTTCCAAACCTGTAAGGAAGGTAAGTATATTTTACCCCTGCTTCAGAGGTTCCATGACTCTTGTAGCACAATCCTGAGAATGTTTACTCAGAAACACACACACACACACAAACACACAACTTATTTCCAACAAGTATGCTTTTAACTATACTTTTGAATACAATTCTGCGTAGTATATAGTAAGTACTCTGATCTAATTCTTTCTTCATAGAGAGTGAGGAACCTAGTGGTGTAGCAATGGCCACACTGGTGAAGATCATCCTGCATTTTATGAGCCAATGTTAAATAATTCAAAGACTTTCACTAGATTTTAAACAACAATCTTCCCCCCAAAACAAAACAGGTTAACTGAGTTTGTCAGAGGAGTTCCATTAGAGAAAGAGAGGAGAGCAACCAAAGAAGCTGTGAGTTCTGAGGGGTTCTGTGTTGCGCTGTGAGGGCAAAAAAGACCACTACTGTTGATTATCCAGCGGAGTAAGGGCAGAAAGTCTGAATAGCGCTTCTGCATTAGCAGAGACGGAAACAGGGATATATAAAGCAAGTGGGTCCTAGAGAGAAGCCAATAAGGTCAATCAATCAGAATAGAGCCGGAAGGGAATTGGAGTTCTTCTAGTCCAACCACCCCCCACCCCCACCCCGCTCAAGCAAGAGACTGTATACCATTTTGGATAGGTGACTGTCCAGTCTTTCCTTAAAAATCTCCAGTGATGAAGCACTCACAACTTCTGACAGCAAGCTGTTCCACTGGTTAATTGTCCTCATTGTTAGGAAGTTAAGAGAACTGAATTAGGAATGCTAATAGAACTGAAATGCCCTTAAGGGTGTCCTGCTTTCCCATCTAGCAACTCAACCATGACATCAAACTGGCTCTAAGTGCGTATAAATACAGGATTAAATGACTAATGCTCCAAACAGTACAATTAATTATTCTATCACATTATAAAAAGGAGATCCTAAATGAAAAGGCCTATAGCATGTAATAGGATAAACACCTGTACATTCGAATTAATAGGCAAGAATTTATTAAACAACTTCTCATATTCAAAGTGGCATGTGGTGATAAGGGACAGCAAAATGTAGTTACTTCTCTGCTCTTATCTTATTCCCCAACTGTTGTTCAGCAGCCCTATTTAGGATGATTTGCTAGGGAGAGACAAGCATAGGATCATCTGCAGGGCTGCAGGAATATTTTAACCACTAGGCAGGTAGTCATTCAGATCTGCTCAGAGCTGGACAGAAGTTAATACAAACAGAAAAATCAAGTGAAGGCGTTTTCCACATAGGACATAAATAAGCATGTTTCTAAGAGGTGAAGAGAATCAAAGGAAAAAGGCAGTTGTCTACCATCCCTGTAAGAAAGGGATGGGAAAAAGTGAAGAGATGAATAAAGGAATGAGAGTAAAGGATCAGAAGGAAAGATAAAGTCTCAGTAATTATTTTGCTACCACCTCTTATAAAACTAGAGAAAGAGAATGTTGGTACTATTTAATACAGTACAATTGGAACTATTGAATGAAGGAGCCTAGTGCTACTGATAAAACTTGAATCAACCAGTTTTTATTACAATTACCAAAATCACTAGGAATTTGAGAAAAGAACAGGCTTCAGTAGCTGTTGAGTTAGCAAACTAGAAGTGATCGAAAAGTAGCAAACAATTACTGAGGAGATTTCAGGTGCATAGATATTATATTTTGAAAGTAACTCTATTTTGCCTGCTACAATAAACTAAAAATACTCCAAAAGGTTGCATTATAAAGATTGTCACTTATCAGAAGAGTGTTTCCTGTAATCCCTCTCCAAATTATAGACTTAAATCCAAATGTTATACATTTCTGGAGTTAACTAGAAATGGAGATTTCTTCTAGGAACAACTTTTTCTACTACTAGAGTTAGGAGATCTAATGATGTTCAAGTAGCCAAATGATAAGCTATTATCAATATCTCTGCAAATAAAATTGTAAACTCATTGCCACCCAATTTTAACTTTCAGAGAAGTTGGACATTTGTTTGGCAGTTTATAATTTAAGAGTCCTATAGAAGTAGTAGGAGAAAAGCTAGGGTGTAAATTATATTTTTTAAGATTGAAAATTGTGCCATGATTTAAATGTTTTGTAGAATTGGATTTTTGTTTCTATTAAGCACTAATCAATTCAACATCTAACATATAACTCCCATCACATTTCCTAGTAATTATTCAGAAGAGATGTGCCTCTGACTTTCACAAGCTGGAAGAATTCTACATGCACATGTAATTGATTCTGATAGAAAGGCTTTCTTTTTTAAATAACAGTTTCCATATGGTACATTAGAAGACACATTTTGATATAGCATTTATTAGCAACAGACATTACTTAGTTTCATTATTCAAGTTAAGGAAAACTGATGGGTTTTAAATTTTCATACCAGACTTTTTCTTTAACACAATTAGAATAAATTTGCACCATTATAAGCTTAAAAAACATACATTAATAAAATTTCAAAGAAAATATGACTTTAGTCACTGGATAGCAATGAAATTTGGCACTATAATTTAGAATGAACACATATTTCACTTCAGGAAATTATGAATAACTTTCAACACATATGGTATATAAAGAATAGGGAAATTGTTTTCTTGTCATTAGAAACCATTTCTTTGCTACTGAGTTTTCTGGTTGAATTTTTTCAGAAGAAGCAGTTGGTGGAAACTTGACTTATTCTAATTCAAGAAGGGTATTAAAACTTGTCAAATGTTTAAATACTTCTCAGAGTAAATAGTTAAATAATAACCTGGTGTTAAGGAAGAGTCTTAAAAAAATGGCAGAGAGTTAAATATAGTCAGCAGAAACAGACTACATAGATGGTGTCACTAAGGAGGATTTGGATCAAATGACAATGGCTTATACTTCATAAAGGACTCCTGGGAAGAGATGGGCTACATCTTATGATGATGAGGAAGTGTCAGGCAGGCGGTACCCAGTCTCATCAGAAGAGTCTCACAAGAGAACAAAAGGGCCAAGGTAGCAAAAACTCAGAGGGCAGCATGCAATCAAGGATTAAGTTCAGATAATTCAAACATAAGGAGAGAACCTGGAAGTCAAGCGTTTCTCAGGAAATTGCAACAGAAAAGTCTGTAGGTACTGCCATTCAAAGCCTCGAATATTTCTATATAATGCACTGAGTATTGGAAATAAGCAGGGAGAATTAGAGATTCTAAGTCAGGAAGACCAATACAATTTGATGGTCATCCTTGAAATGGTAGGATAATATCTGTGATTGACTACAACTTGCAAAGCTACAAGTTGTGCAACTTGTAAGCTACAAGTTCCTTAAAGAACAGTCCCACTATAATGGTATGTGAGAATGACTTTGGAAGATTCCTACATGCAAGTTTTTGTTACGGTAACCTTACAATAATGGTAGGGTTACTACTCATGGTTTGTGTTTCTTGTGTAGACTATCTCAAAGGGCCGACATCAGCCTTCCAAGTCTGGAAGCACCTCTCCCCTCCTCTATTTTTATTTTCCAGAAAATTAGAAAAGTTCCTTTCCAAGATGCTTCCCATATCCCTTTTCCCTCTGTGGGCTGAGATGCCTTTTGCATGACTGTTATCTACGCTAGAATTCTTCCTCCTGTCTCCCAAGGTCCTGGAGCCTTGGTAGTACAGTGCCTTGGTAGTACAGTGGTCTAAGGCACCCTGTTATTAAGCTGGTTATTAAGACCAGCTGCCTGCAATTACTGCAGGTTCGAATCTCACCAAGGCTCAAGGTTGACTCAGCCTTCCATCCTTTCTAAGGTAGGTAAATTGAGGACCCAGTTGTGGGGGCAATAAGCTGACTTTGTATAAATATACAAAAGGATGAAGGCTATTGCTGAGCACATTGTAAGCCGCCCTGAGTCTCCGGAGAAGGGCGGCATATAAATCAAATTTTAAAAAAAAAAGGTCATCCCCACATACCAAAGCAGCAAGGGTGTCAAACTGGATTTCTTAGAGGGCCAGATCAGCATTGTAGTTCTCCACAGGCTGGCTGGCTGGCTGGCTGGCTGGGGGGGGGGGGGGGGGGGGGGGGGGGGGGGGAAGGGGGGAGGGACACCTCTTGCAGCACTTTGCAGGCCAAAACCGCTCACAGGGCCTGGACAGCCTCCTGCAACACTTTGCTGGCCAAAAGACTTTTTAATCATTTGGGGATTTTTAAATTGATTAATTTTAGTATTGCACTGTTGTATTGTTTTTATCTTGTTAGCCGCCCCGAGTCCTACGGGAGTCCTATGGGAGAAGGGCGGCATATAAATTTTGAAAAATAAATAAATAAATAAATAAAATGGGGCGTAGGGGAGCAGTGCCCTATTTTGGCCGGCAAAGAGTTGCTGGAGACCATCCAGGCCTAAAACAGGCTGCGTGGGGGGGCTGTGCATGGCTCCCCATACCCTATTTTGGCTGCCACAGGCATCATGGGCCGGTCCTTTGCTATTTCCAGGCCGGCCACACGGGCTACATTTAAGCACCCCGTGGGCCAGATCCAGCCCGCGGGCCTTGCATTTGACACCCCTGCATTATAGCAACGGAGGACTGAAAATGTTGCATGATATAAAAAGAAAAATACGTACTTGCATAGAATTCTAGGACCAAAGTAGGGAAATGCCCTTGAAATTGTATGGATAAAAATAAAAGGAAAGAAACAAAAGTGCTATCATCACGGAAGTTTATTATGGACTACCTGAGCAGGCAGAAGACACAGATGAGGCTTTTCTGTGTCAGACAATCAGTCTTTCAAAGAGGCACGCAATCCCGATAATTATTTCAATTATTCTGACATCTGAAGGGAATTCAATTCTGCCAAGTTAACTTTGTTAACTCCAACAAATTCTTGTCCACTCTTGCTGTCAATTTCAGTTGTCAGAAGTTGGAAAAAAAGAACAAGTCTGCTATCTGTGCCTAATCCTCACCAACAGGGAGCATTTCAAAAAAACAAAACCGACTGGTATGGTAGAGGAAGGTGATTGTGTTATCCTTGAATTTATAATATCAATGGAGGAGAAACTGAGAAAAGTCAGATCTGCATATTGCATTTCAAAAGAGCAAATGTTGATAAACTTCAAGGGAAGATAAGCCAGATTCAGTGGCTTGAAGCTCTTAAAGGAGAAACATGTCTAGGAAAACTAGAAAATCCTACAAAGTGATATAGTAAGAGCATAATTATAAACAACTTTTATGAGAAGGAAAAGGACTCCAATGCAACCAAAGTGGATACGCTTGGAGCTCTCAAAGATGTCGGACAAAAAAAAAAAAAAGAAAGAAAGAAAGATCTGAATAGAAAATAGAACCCTAACACAAAAGCCGTCTCAGGAAATTATAGGAATCATATCAGAAAGGTTAAAACTCAGAAGGCGATGAAGTTTCCGATAGATACCAAAAATAACAACAAAAATTTTCTATGAATATCTTGGAAATGAAGGTCAAAGAGAACACAGATTCACTGCAAAAACAAAATGTTAAATTGTTAATGGGGACAGAGTTAATGTTATCCTCAAAATGGCATAAAAAATAAATAAATAAATGAACCTGCATGAAGGGCTTTATCGGCCTAGTTAAACTAAATTGTTTTTAAGGGTAGAAAGAGTATAGAGAGGTATTGTAAACGGTATTAGTCTAAACTCTTTTAGCTATGTTAGTGTAAAACTTTTAATGTTTTCTTTTTCTCCTCTCATACTTTTACTTTGATTGGCTTACTACTTTTATGTCATTTCTGCTCTCTGTATAACAGTACTTATCCCGGCAGACAATAGCTTAGTACATGGCTTTGTAACAAAATCACAGCAGAAATCAACACAACATGCATCCCAAATTTGCATTTATTACTACCTATGTTATTAATTTACATTTTAAAATATCTATTCCTATAGACCAGGCATCCTCAAACTACGGCCTGCAGGACAGATCCGGCCCGCCAAAGCCATTAATCTGGCCCGTGAGGACCATGGGGCTGTTCTGCCCATATTGCCACACCCACCCCCGGCCCCCACCCTTCGGCCAAGTACAGGACTTACATTTGCGAGGGCCAGCAGAGTGCTTCTGGGGGGGCAGGGGAGGCCAAAAACAGGCCGCGCTTTTTGCCAGCCAAGGAAAGAACTCAAAGATTTGCCAGGGACTTCAGTCCACCATCGCTCCATTGGGGGGGGGGGGGAACTGAAGGTCCCAATGGGAGAGGCTGTGCCTGCTGCATAATTACACCACACAATGCTTTGTGGAGGCAGCTTTGCTCATGAGGAAAGCCCGCTGGAATGGCAGCGGCAGCACACAAGGCTGCAAGAGGAAGAGAGGCCAGGTGAGACCCAGACGTTTTCCAGCTCACCTCATCCCAGAAGCATCAACCTCACACTCTCCCCTCTTTGCTAGTAGTTGCCGTTTTTCACACGAGATCGCCCAGGAGTGAGGAGGGAGAGGGCCTGTCTTTCTCTTGCAGCCACGTGTGCTGCCGCCGCCGTTCCAGATGGGTCCCTCGAGAGTGAGGGAGAATAAAGAGGAAAAAGCCAGCAGGAAAAAGGCTCATTTGCTTGCTTTGTTTTTCCATCTCCCCTCTTGCAATGAGGAAGGGAGCCGCATGCTAAGTTCTGCGGGGTTTGCATGGGGGCTGTGCAAGGGGCATAGCAGGGAGATGCATTCCCATTCCCACTAGGGGAGATGATCTTGTTGGCGTGGGGGATTCCGGAGACTTGGCTGGGGGGAGGGGGAAGGGAAGGGCCGGGAAATGCGCCTATTGTGTGGGTTGCTTTGTGGTCTGTTGGCGCCGTTTTGTGTGGTTGGCCATGCAAAAGGCTGGGGCCGTCACTTGCATGCATGTGGTGTGTGTGTATCCGGGGCGCAGGGCGTTGCGACTGGATGGTTGCTATCCCAGGGTTTTTTTGCTTTGGAACCCGATCCGATAGGTATGGTTGTGATTTATGCAGCAGCAGCAAAGGGCAGGCCGTCATGTGGGCAGCTGGATGCATTTTGCATGCAGGCTGATTCCGAAGCACGCTCCCTTATAGGACTGATTGTAGCGAACTTGTTTGCTTGCTTGCATATATGTACGCATGTATGTGCTTTCTCTTTTAAGGGGTGCTAGCTTTGGGATTTACAGGATTGCGGGTTGATCTGTTCCCCGCCACGTCTTCCTCCTCCTCTCCTTTGGGATAGTGCTGTGCTGGGGTGCTGTGTGCTCTCAGGCCTCCTGCCCACGTGTGCTTCTGTGAGGCAAAAAGAAAGTCTTTGCCCACGCTCTCCTAGGGCCCTGGTCTTGCCGCTGATTCGAGTGCGTCCTCCGCGGACCACTAAGAGCCTGAAGGGGTGTTGGCGCCAAGGCAGCCCATGTCTCCCGCTGCTTTGAGCTCGGAGCTGTAAACCACATCCATTTCTAGCTGCAGTGTACTCATGAGCACCGTTGGCCAGGACAGGCGGGGAGAAAGGTGAGAGGGCAGCACAATTGAGGGGGCAGGAGCCAGGTGCAGGCAGGCAGATTAGAGGACGCTGGCAGATTGCTGGCTTGCTTGCTCAGCTTTTCGCCACCCAGAACACGCAGGCACCTAATGAAACCTGGGTCATGGCTGCTGCTGCTGCCTCCTCCCTGTGCACATTGAGGAGGCCGAGCAGCAGCGGGGAGAGCGCGGACCTCCTGAGCCGCAGGAAGTGGCTGCCAGTGATGCGCTCATGCGAAGATGTTGTGAGCGAGGAAGCTGTTTGTTACATTTAAAAGTAAATGTATTACTTTTGGGGACACTGCAGGAGTGCCCCGCCTCCCCACTGGCCAGCTAGTCTTCAGTGCATGGCTCGGCAGCCTCCAGATGTCAGATTCCCACCACCCAGCACAAGTTCAGGGGTTCTTCTCCCACCCCCCGGGACAGAGGGAGAGGGAGGGAAAGAGAGAAAGAGATGAGGGGGGGGAGGGAGGGAAGGAGGGAGAGGAAGGGAGAGAAGAGAGAGAAAGGAGAAAGAGGGAGGAAGGGAGGGAGGGGGAGAGAGGGAGAGAGAAAGAGAAGGAGGGAGAGAGGAAAGAGAGAAAAAGAGGGAGGAGAGAGAGAGAGAGAAAGAGGGAGGGAGAGAGGAGAGAGAAAGAGAGAAAGGGAGGGAGGGAGGAGAGAGAGAAAGATACAGAGAGAT